TCGATTTGACAGACAAGGAGAGGCAGATATTCGACCGACTTCTTCAGGTTCTACGGCATTTTAATCTCCAGACTCAACTCCGTGTCGCCGGTGGTTGGGTTCGTGATAAGGTCCATCTTCTATCACTATCTGTTTGTTTTCTCTGAAAATTTGTGTTTTCTTTTTGTTGTATGTATGGTAAATTTTGTGTATGTTCTGTTTGTTTGGATTGAAGTATGTGTTTTCTAGTAAAACTTCATGCGAGATGCTTCCGAGTGTATAGAGCGAAATAGGGATGTGGAAGTTTCAGATTGTTTTGAACGTCCCTCCTTATGAGTGATCAATTCCTTGCAATGCTATTTTTTTTTGGATTTCAAGTTGCCAAATTTATCTTTGGAGTGCTTTTGGCTGATGGAATTGTGCTGAGTTAAGTCCTTGGCATTAGAATTGTGATTATAAGAGTTTAAATTAATTTTCTCCAGTTTTAAATTTATGGACTTCATTTCTTGACGCCAACACCAACGCTGCCAGTGAATTTTCTTTTTGAAGTCAGTTTAAATAGATGTATGTGCATATAAATGCACATCTATAAGCAAAAATGCTGAATACATTTGATCTATACTTTGGAATTTTTTTTATATTGCACTTAATTAGTCCAGATTCTCTTTTTTATGTTTTTGGGTTACTGTATATCTTTTGTTAATTATTTTTACTGCAGCTTCTAGGCAAAGATAGTGATGATATTGATATTGCTCTCGACAACATGTTGGGAAGAGAATTTTGTGAAAAAGTCAATGGGTACTTGTCGTCTAATGGAGAAGAAACACATGGAATTGGCGTCATCCAATGGTACACACCTTATTCCTCTCTTTTGCATTGCAACAAAATAATATAAGATTATCAACGAAGTGGATAGTTATGAATTTATATGCACGTTGATTTCATATTTTGTTTGTTGGGTTACCCACACAGTACTGAGTAGCTTGTGTGTGGATTCCATTTGGTTTTGACTTTAGAAAGCTGCAGATTATGATTAAAGATAAATGAGATTTCTGACAACTCTTGAGATTAGAGACGGTAAACTGAGGTGGGAAAAAGGCTATCTAGGTTGAAGGGGCTAATTTTTGATTGTTTCACACTTTCACTTATTTAGTTGTAGCTACAAGCCTACAAGTATATCCAACTATTTTTTTTTCAAGTAGGTTTTTGGTCTAGTGGGAAATAAAGGGTGAAACGAAAAACACCCTGATGTGGGAGGTTGAGTAGATGAAGGATCGCATAACGAATGTTTTGTTTTTTTATTTTTATCATTTTTGCCACTTGGACTTGCTTTGGGTAATGCAATTGCTGCAAATAATGTTTTGGTTGGAAAATTGCTATGGAGATTATTAGAATATAATGTCTTTTTTGGGGGGTTTGTTGCTATTCATAGCGCTGTGGGACATACTCAAATCAAGATTGTACTTATAATACGAGGAAATTCATTAGCTAATATTATCGAGTCTTTCGGTTATTTTCCTAAGCCTTGTACAACTAATTTGGATACTTTAGAAGAATATTGCCTTGTAAGATTTGGTTCTGGAAGGACTAATAAGCAGGTGAGGAAATTAAAGTAGTTATACTTCAAGCAAAAATAGCTTCATGCTATTAAATATCTCAACAACACAAATTTTTTGGGAATCTTGTTGGTTTTGTTTATTTGCCCCAGAACTTAACAGTAGACAATTTGATACATTTCACTTCGTAATCGTGGTCAATTATCCTCTATAATGTAACTTGTCTTCTACAATGCCTTTTGATCTATTGTTGATGAGAGTTAGTGATGGTGCAAACTAATGCCAAAGAAAACTCGTGTGTTTACTTTTGCATACTTCTAAGGAGGAATGCTTGGACTCAATCGGCATGAAAGTAAGGCAAAAATCCGAGAGCATTCCCTTTAATTTATTTTTGATGTTAGTGTCTCATCAGATGTCAAGACTTGTGATTTGCTTTCAATGGACATTTTTGATAGGAAATGAAAACTTCTACTAATATAATTTAATGTATATCATAATGGTTGGATAAGAAATCCATCCAATCAAAGGAAATCATAATCAATATAATTAAATACATAAAACAACCCATGTATCACATGAAGCTCGCCATCCCATCAAAATTGCAAGGAGATGAATTGCTTTGAAATCCTTAGTAACCAAAGCAAAATGATGCCAAGAAATAAATATGATCTGATAAACCATCCAAGCACTCAACTCTGTATTCAAAGACTCTTACATTTCTTTCCTTTCAAATAACCCACAAACTAGCAAACATGACGCAGTTCCAATGTGTCGTTCCTTTAGCATTTATCCCAAGATCTATCAATTCTTCAATGAGTAAAGATGTAACTGAAACGAGAATCACCCAATTCAAACCCACCAATGCAAATAACTTGTACCATAATGATAACGCAATAGGGTAATGTAGAAAAGAATGATCAATGCTTTCATAATCCCCTGCACACATGACTCCACTGCATGCAGACAAAGATAAGAATGAGGCTTTCCCTTATGAAGCATATCATTATCTTACCATGTGCAAGTCCTTGAAAAAACTTGCACTTTAGTTGGCACTTTAACTTTCCAAATCATCAGAAGGGCGCAAAGAATCATCAAAGAGAGAATCATAAAAGGATTTATAAGAAAAACCACCTGAATACTCAAGGGCTAACCTTCTTTTATCGCATGACACTTACCACAACAAAGAATTATTAAGAATATTCAACAGTGATAACACATCACTTATATTCCTATCACCAAAATTCTTACGAAAACCAAAATCCCAAGAATACGGTGGATTATAAATCCAATCATAAAATTAATGGTTGCACCCAGGTAGGAAGATAAATGATAGAGACGTGAAAACAAGTAGGAAAAAGATGGCTTTCCCACCCATATTTACTCCCAAAATCGAATTCTCGTTACATTCCTCACTACTAACATAACCTTTTAGGTAACCTCGTCATTCCCTGGGATATGGATTTCCATGGCTTCGGAAACTTTCCCTTTTAACCTTATTAGTGTCTCATCCATTAGCTTGTAATCCATATTTATTCTTCGTAACTAAATGCCACTGAGCATTTTGTTCCAAAGGAAATCACCAAAGCCACTTACCCACTAAAGAAATATTTCTTGCCATCAAATTATCAATTGAAATATCACCTTTATCCCTATGTCTAGAAACCACTTGCCAACCAATCAAGTGATCCTTCCTCCATTCACCACTTCCTTTCTACAAAAAGTCCGTCATCATTTTTTCCATCTCCATGGCAACCTTGCTTGACAGCCTAAATAAGGATAAAAAATATGTGAGAATACTAGCTAATACTAATTGCACCAATGTTAACCTCCCCCTAGAAATAAAAATTTCTTTTCCAACTATCCAAGGGTCAAACTATCGTTTCGGTGTATTGTTTCGGTCACCTAGGAAACGGAAACATTTCGACGTGTTTCAAAAATGTTTCGAAAACATAATGAAAAAAATAAAAAATTTAAGAATTATTTTTTTAAAACATTGATGGAAATATATCAAAATATTTTGAAATACCTTGAAACATTCTAAAACAATTGTGCAAATGTATTGAAATATTATAATACATTTAAAAACATTATGGAATTCCTTGAAATATCAGAATTTCGATTTCATCACTGTTTCGTTTCGGTCTCCTTGAAAACGGAAATGTTTCAGACGTTTCAACCGTTTTGAAATGATATTTTGATCCTTGCAACTATTTAATCTTTTTCCCACTCTCTCCACCATTAGATCCGAAAAAGATAGTGTTAATGGATTCCCACCCAAGGGTAAACTTATGTACTTAAGAAGCTAAGCCTCTACTTTACACTCCAAAACCCATGTGCAACTATACTAATTTTATCCAGGTTTGAATTTATACCTACAAGCAGATTTTTATTCATATTCAACTTCAGTCCTGAGTCTTGACATAATGCTAAACACCTACACAATATTCTATAAATTTAAAATTATTTGCTCATCTCTCTCATAAAAGAATATTGTATCATCAACAAATTTCAAATGTGAGTCTGTTTTCCAATCCCTTCCCACTATAAATCCTTCCACAAAATTACATCTCTTTGCTCTCTTGACTAATCTACTAAAGCCATTAGCAATTAGAGTAAAGTAAAAAGAAAGGGAGATAAAACGTCTCTCAATGGACATCATTAAATGCCAACAAACATCTTAGAAGAACAATGAATAAAAATAAGACATGTAAATTGTTCTCTGATGACAAGGATATCATTTAGAAGACATTGAGCATTTAACAATCAATCATTCATTTCTATTGAGGGAACATATTCGCTCAACGACTTACTGCCTTAGCACAATTTTAGGGAATCTTCTTACTCAAAGAAGTACTTTATGTAGGGAAAGTTGTCAATACTTGAATGTTGAAATTGTGTTTCACTACTAAAGAACTCATACTTCAATCGTAATGTGTTTCACTACTAAAGAATTCACACTAAAATCATAATGCAATTGCAACCGCAAGAAGGAAGATTCTAGATTAGCATCATAAAGACTATACAAGAGAAATGACAAATTAGTGAAATGGATTCTAGGCTGACTCTCGCCTCTCCTATCTTTGATTAGACAGAAAAGTGACCATCTGGCTGGCTAATCCATTGCCAAGGGAACTTACTAATGATGTTCAAGCCAAATAAACATATGAAAATTGGAAGTTTTTCAGCATTAGCAACAAAGAAACATTAGTAATAGATGCACTCTAAGACTTAATTTGGGTGGACAGGCTTTGGGTTTACACAAACTCCATTTGCCGAGATAATGGAGAGGTTCAGAGTTGGGAATTAAAAAATGGTTATCCTCGCTTAAGGTTATTGGTGAACGTATCACAACATGAGGAGCAAACCTGGTGGGGATAGAGTATTTGAAACGATGCAACCCGTGTCTATGAAAAGTGGTAGGATATCATCATTGCCATAATATGAAAGTTAAAAAGAAGAAAGAAGGAAATTTTGATGGCAGCTCCAAATTTAATTGTTATGGAACTTCATCAAAGTGATGAGAAACAAGCTGCTTCATCATTACAGGTAGTTTTTTGGGCGATGGATTCATCATCCTCTCTAGGGAGGATATTGCGTTGTGTCAGGGTCATGAGTTCTTGCCTTAACCTATTGTCAAAATTTTAGGGCCACTATTCTCTTCTAACCACAATTTTTTCCTTGATTTCTGGAATCTAATTTTTTATAACCTTAAGCTATCTTCTCTGCATAATTACATCAGTGATGTCTTCCTTTCATTGTGCCTTCTCTCTTTCTTTTTGGTTCAATTTTCATCATGACTCCTCTCCTTGCTTTCATAGGTCCCCAAATGGTCAAGACTTTTGTTTGATTGATATATTTTTTTTGGGAGGAAGTTTATTACGTTTGTGATGCTTTAAGAAAGAACACATAGGAAAACTTGCTTTCCTTGCACATTTGCTATTTGTAACGGAGATAGCATTTTTGTACAATTGTCTCTCTCTTCCTTAAGAGATCCCCAACTACTCTCTTGCATAGCCTTTTCATTAGGAATATTAGTAGTTGGTGAGCCCCTTTTGTGTATCCTCTCAAGTGGAAACATCCTTTATGAAGTTTGGGGGACTTGAAGTAGGCATTCTTTGGAGGCATGAAACATTGGTTTTGGTTTGGTGCTTTTTTGTGAAAAAGAATAAAGCTTTTGGGACAAAAGCCAGGACACAAATATTGCAATGGAAAGGATAGGAATTATGGCCTCTTATATTTTTGCCATTTGAATGAGCTTGAACAAATTATCGTCACACTCATTCTTAAAGGTTGGAATGCTTGTCAATTCCTCCCATCCTTGTTACTTTAATGGGTTCTAAAGTGGATTTTCTATCCTACAGAAGATTGGGCTTAATGTTATGGTTTCAACAGGTTACATTGTATACCGTTGTAGTTTATTCTTAGTTTCTATTTGGTGCTGATCTTTAAAATGCAACAACCAAATCCTCAAAAATTTGGCTAGTGGTCCACTACACTTAGGAATTTGGATGGTAATGAAGCACTTGACTTAAAAGCAAGGGCATATCTATCACTTTGCATATATTAATAATTTCTCTTTTAAACATCCCTCTGCCACCCTATCCCATATCTTCCTCCTCTCTATCGTAGTCTAGGTCTTCCCTCCTACTGTCTCTCTCTCTCTTACATCTTATGTCAACACCATGTCGCTGGAGACTATCCGTAGCCAAAATTACTATGACTAGCCTTATATAATGGAAAAAAAGCCTCAAGGTGCCAAGGTTTCTTGAGCCTCAAGTGCAGGGTGAAGTGCAAGCATCACTGAATCAAGCTGAACATTGCAGATAACATGCAAAAATTATACATGTACCACAAATACAACTGAATGCAACAAGTTTCACAAAAATTTAGGCAAAGTAGAACTTATCTCAATTGTAATAGCAGCAATATTCTATGGAATGAAAGCTAATTTCAGGAAAATATGGCAGATACGACCTTCTCAGCTGATTTTAGCAGCATAGGGTAAACTACAGAGAGATTCCTAGGATAATTGATTAATGTTTAACTTAAAATATTGGCAAGTTACATTAGATTTCAACAATTGCTTGCAAAATAAAACTAATCTCTAAATTATGAGCGTCTTTCACCAAGTTAAGCGTTAGATTTTCATTAAAAGGCTATAGAAAGATTCCCAAACAGAGTAGGAAAAGAAGAAGAGGTGGTAGAGTTTGAATAGGGGCCAATTAAACTAACGAAAAATAGAGGGTGATTTTAGTAACTAAGGGGCTTTTTTCACGAAAAGGAAAGAAAAAAGGAGAGAGAAAGAGGACTGTAGAGAGAGAGAAGGTGATATCGGAGGATACAACTCTAAATCATATCATTGAAGAGGAAAAAACACGAGTCATGCTTTTTGGGCATTGACCTAGGCTTGGGCCTCATGCACCTTGGCATCCGTTCACTTTGGGCTTAGTCGTGATTTTCACAATACTGGCTACAATGACCATCATCATTGACCACCGCGCATGACCACTCACCATCGTCATCACTAATGACTATAATTCTGAGCTACTATCCACCTTTGACGCCAACAGAAAAAATTAAACCTAAAGGACTTGCCAAAATCTTTGTGGCAACAAATGTCCTTGGTCAACCCATTGCCATCCCTACTTGCATGGATCTTCACTATCATCACCTCACACCATTAAATGCTAGTTCCCTAGTCAGCTAGCAAAATCACCGTTGTTAGCAGCTAATTCAATCATCACGTTTGCCAATGTAGATTAATCTCCACAATTAGGATTATAAATTACAAGTTACAACATTCCAACAATAGTGTGAGAGTTATTAAGGAGGTAGATACGGGACATTTGATTTGGCAGAGAAAGGAGGGGGCTCTAGTTGGGCGGGGGATTGTTGAGATTAGATTGGGGTTGTGCAAGTGTGGGAATAGTTGATGTGGGAAAGGAGTCTATAGTGGTGTTGGGGAATTGTGATGGTGTCACTAGCCAGAAGCTGGGAGGAAGGGACAAAAATATGGAGGATGGCGGCAACTCTAAGAGAGGGAAAAATGAGATGGAGAGATAGAAAATATATACATGATTGAGTATCTTTTTAGGTTTAGGTATGTGTGGCAACATGGTTGTTTTTGTCCTTTAGCGGGTTTAGATATGTTTAGCAATTAGGGTGCAAGATATATTTTTTGTTGGGTCAAAACTCGTGTGGGTCATGGGAAGTGTTGCCATCAGACAATTTTAATAGGCCCGGATGAATGGACTTGATTAGAACACACATAGAACTTGGATGATTTGATTATTGTGGCAGAAGTATTGAAAATATAAATAGAAACCGATGGCAAACTTTAAGGTTGTAAATGGAATTTGTCCTTAAGTTCATCCTTAGTTAGGCAACGTAGTGGTTTTGTAGGTATCTATCACAATGTAATAATTTTTTTTTTAACTTTTCATCGTTGTTGTGTCGGTAATGCCAATAGGGGGGTTGCTTACTGATTGTTGTTTGAGACGTCGTGGAATCCAAGTTTATACCGATCTCTTAGTGAAAGTTAACACTTCATTATGGACTTAAGTGAGAAAGAAGGCTCTTGGATTTTTGATACCATGCACAAATGATATTTAATTGTTTTATCATTCTAAGGCTACTGTACTTTTGGTGTGACTTAGAAATATCGAGCCGATGCCTTAGGTTCTGCGGAGCCACCTGATAACAAGCTTGAAGCGGTTTATTTATGTTTTAGAACGGGAAAAAGTAGAGAAATAAGAAGAGATATTACCAGACATTAGTAATGATTAGGTCAATAAACACGTAATTTTCCATAGAGAACAAGAACCAGGTTCTTAATAATTTGTTCTCTAATCAAAATAGTTTGGATTATATAATTATTTTGTAGATAATGTCTCTAACCAAAACAAAAAGTGCTCTCCAACTAAAACTCTATCCAAGAGTATCCTAATTTTATAGATACTAATTAAAAATGTATAAATGATAGAATTCCCACAAAGTCCTAATCACAAAATAATACAGAATAAATTATAAAATCATGATATTCATTCTGGTGCTTATCCAATTCCTTTTCAATACGTTTGACTTCTCTCCTGCTTAAAAAAAAAAAACTCATCTCCAAAGAGTAATAATAAAGCGCTTCTAGATGTTCAAAGTTGGTCGATAGTATCACCATGAGCTAAAACTATAGCTTGACTTTCTGTTTTTTTGAATTCACATTTTGGTCTACGTAGAACAAATGAGATAGAGGAAGCAAAGTAACTAGTGGCAAAAAAGTAACAACCACATCTTTGAATTGTGGAGACAAAGTAGCGACCACTTCTGTCGAAACCTCTTTAGAAACTTGCTTTACTTCATCTGTAGAAACACCCATAGAAATTGGCTTATTATTAACAATTGATATAGGACAAAGAGGATAAATTTTTAGGTCATCAATATTAGACCATATAGGCTCATTGGGCTTTGTTTTCTTAATGGTACTCCTTACCTTGTAAAAGTTTTGTCTTTTTAAGGTCAAGGGTTCAAACCCCCTTCCTCCTCCCCTCCTCTCTCCCCAAAAAAAAAAAAAAAAATATAGGCTCATTAGGCAATCTAATTGAGGCTTGTGGTGGTGGAGGGGCTTGTAGTGTAGGGTGTCAACCATTTGTTAATGACTAATGGATGAAGAGGATGAATTGATATTTGTCTTGTTCAAACACTTGTTGATTTGTAGTTTAACCCAAAAAATCACAAACAACTTTTGCACACTTTATTTTGGTGATTTGATTGATGTTTGGAGTGAATTCACTAATGCTTGGAGACTAGTTCGGCATCGAGTGCCTTAACTTTGGCAATTAATGTGTGATTGGTCAACATCTTGATGGGACAAGGGATATGATTTTTTTTTTGGAAATTAGCTAATCTATTAATTTAGGAAAGTTTTTGAGTCAGTTCTGTAACTTTGAAAATTCTTAGGGAGGATTTTGAATGTTTATGAAATTACAAGATATGCAATTGCTGATAGTTTTGAGGATATTTGCGTAATTTTACAAATTACAGTGGCTTAAGGGAAATGTTTAGAAGTGTAGTGGTTTAGTTTTTTCTTATTTTCAAAATTGTGGATGCGCTGTGGTTTTTGTCAAATGGTTTTAGGCTGACTTTTTTTTCTCGCTTTCATTGATTGGTTTAGGTTTGGCTAATGGATATTGGTTCAAGATCTCAAAGTAAATGAGTTTTGGCATAGTGGTAAGGTTGTTCCATTGTGACTTGGACATCAAGGGTTTAACTTTCAGAAATAACCTGTCTGCATACAGGTGTAAAGTTGTGTATGCCTGATTAGTGGCTCATGCAGTAGGTCTCCCTTTATTATCTCAAAGCAAATGGGTCGGACTGATCCAATTTTTTAAACAAAGGTTGTCTTTTGTGCAACCAATGTGTGAAACCCTAACCTCTAGACTCTGCAATAGTAGCATTGAAGTCAATTCGGAAGTCTTTGATGGCTAGGATCTTCAGGAAAGGCTCGAGTAAGTTTAGATAAATGGACCATTCCATGGTACAATTACAAAAATTTTTGCTGCCAGGTAAAGGACTTGGCTTTGAGCTCAAGGACAGCCATTTCAGGTGAAGAATGACCAAATTGGCAGGTAAAGGACTTGACTTTGAGTCCTAGTCTAGGTCCGGGCACCCCTGAATGAGGAGACCATTACAATGGTCATATCATAATTAATTATACAGCTTCTTGGGATTGAATTATATATACTTTTGATTCCTCACTGCCTCTTTGTTCTTATATGGTGGATCCTTATTTCCTTGTTTAGTAGAATATTATACAGTACAGCAAAGATGCTTTCCTCTAGAATTTGATTATTTTGGGTTTTATACCATTCTAGTATTTCCATAACTCAAAATTTTTATTAGTGTTTTACTAACCACTTAAAGATTGTGCAGTTAATTGTTGTGTTACTATTTTTTTTTTTTTTTAAAACTTTTGCAGCAATCCTGACCAATCCAAACATTTAGAAACAGCGAGGATGCACCTATTTGATATATGGATTGACTTTGTCAACTTAAGATCCGAAGACTATACTGAGAATAGCCGTATTCCTACAATGGTACATGCTTACTTCATCTATTAGTGACATAAAGTTGTTCCATTCTTGTGATCATTAGTGAGATGAGATGGTGCCTAGATGAAGCCTTTTTTTTTCTTTGTACTTTGAAGCTAGTTGGAAGTATGACCTATTGTAGCAGTTTTTGTCTTAGATTTAGTGCTTGGTTTTCCTTATGCTACTGTGTGCTTGTCAATGTAAAACAAGTTATGTTACCTCGTAGCAGTCCCTCCATTGAAATCTTGCAACTAAATTCTCCCCTCCTTAACTTTTTCATACAAGAATCTTCATGGAGGACTTCCTAGACAAGTTTTCTTTCGAATGACAAGTTACTTTTATGGTTTTACTTCAGTGAACGTGGAATATTGGCAACAAGTCTAGAGGCATTTTGTCACAGCCAGAATCTCAATTGAATTCTAGACTCACCGTAACCCGAATAATGAACTTTTTACACCCTTCCAAACATTATGAAGACAAATAAAAATATTATGAATTAATATAAAAATTTACGCAAGCTGCAATCTTCATTTCTTCAATACCCTGATCTGGTTTTAGTCCAAATTGAATCTGTAACCGACAAGTAAATTTGAGAGGGTGAGCTTAATAGCCCAACAAGCTGGATAATCTACAATATGGTTGGACTGATATTTATAAAGGCTAACAATATTTAAATGCAAGGATCAAAATGTCGTGTCGACACGTTCGAAACGTTTCGGAATTTCAACACTCCGAAACGAAACAGTAGTTGAATCACAAAATTCCAGTGTTTCGGTCGAAATGGCACTGTTTCGGACCGTCTCGATCGAAACAGTACCGTTTCAACGAAACAATGATATATTCGGTTCACTATGAATAATTATATTTAATACACCACTATAATTATATTTAATACCCACTGTAATTACATTTAATATCCACTATAATTATGTTTAATACCCCACTATAATTACATTTAATTTCCACTGCTCTTCTGTCTTTTATAATTTTTTTGTTATAAGAATAAATAATTACACTTAATACCCTACTGTAATTATATTTAATACCCATTGTAATTATATTTAATATCTACTGTAATTATATTTAATACCCCACTGCCAAGGATCAAAATTTCGTTTCGAAGTACCGTTTCGGTCAACTCAAAAATAGAAACGTTTCGGAAACATTTCGGAAACGCAGAAAAAATATGGAAACGCATAAAAACACAAATGCAATCCATTAATTTATAAAGATATGCTAAATAATTTATTAATTCAACATATTTATTAGGTTAACATCAATTTATACAAGAATAAATTTAAATTTGAGGGAAAAAAAGGCTTGACTTGAGGTGAAAGTCACTTAAATTAGTTTCAAACACTTAATTTTTATGAAATAAACACATTTTTACATAATATTAAGGTCTTATAATACACATGAAATGCTAATGAGTACATACTTACATGGTTACATCCATTCCCCTGTGGAGTGTCGAGCAGGCTCATACATCGGTGTAGGCTCTGGGTAGCTACTTAGAGAAACTCCATATGTGACATAAATATGATGACAATAGTTACTCCAAATCATATTATTACGGTAATATAATCCAATTAATAATACTATTTTATTATAATACTAATAATGAAGGGTATCAAATTAAATTAATGATACTTATGTATACTTAAAAATTAAATGTAATTGCAGTGGGTATTAAATGTAATTACAGTAGGTATTAAATATAATTACATTAGGGTATTAAATGTAATTGTTAATACTTATAACAAAAAAAAAAGCAAAAAACTTGCACAGCAGTGAGGTATTAAATATAATTACAGTATGTATTAAATATAATTATAATGGGTATTAAATATAATTATAGTAGGGTATTAAGTGTAATTATTTATTCTTATAACAAAAAAATTATAAAAGACAGAAGAGCAGTGGGAATTAAATGTAATTATAGTGGGATATTAAATATAATTATAGTGAGTATTAAATGTAATTACAGTGGGTATTAAATGTAATTATAATGGGGTATTAAATGTAATTATTCATAATGAACCGAATATATCACTGTTTTGTCGAAACGGTTCGAAACAATGCCGTTTCGACCGAAACGGTCCGAAACAGTACCGTTTCGACCGAAACGGTCCGAAACAGTACCGTTTCGACCGAAACACTGGAATTTTGTGATTCAACTACTGTTTCGTTTCGGAGTGTTGAAATTCCGAAACGTTTCGGACGTTTCGGACGTGTCGACACGACATTTTGATCCTTGCCCACTGCTGTGCAAGTCTTTTGCTTTTTTTTTTTTTTTTTGGTTATAAGTATTAACAATTACATTTAATACCCCAATGTAATTATATTTAATACCCATTGTAATTACATTTAATATCCACTGCAATTATATTTAATTTTTAAGTATACATAAGTACCATTAATTTAATTTGATACCCTTCATTATTAGTATTATAATAAAATAGTATTATTAATTGGATAATATTACCGTAATAATATGAGTTGGAGTAACTATTGTCATCATATTTATGTCACATATGGAGTTTCTCTAAGTAGCTACCCAAAGCGTACACCAATGTATGAGCCTGCTTGACACGTCACAGGGGGATGGATGTAGCCATGTAAGTATGTACTCATTAGCATTTCATGTGTATTATAAGACCTTAATATTATGTAAAAATGTGTTTATTTCATAAAAATTAAGTGTTTGAAACTAATTTAAGTAACTTTCGCCTCATGTCAAGCCTTTTTTTTCCTCAAATTTAAATTTATTCTTGTATAAATGGATGTTAACCCAATAAATATGTTGAATTAATCAACTATTTAGCATATCTTTATAAATTAATAGATTGTATTTGTGTTTTTATGCGTTTTCATATTTTTTCTGCGTTTCTATTACGTTTCCGAAACGTTTCCAAAACGTTTCTATTTTTGAGCTGACCGAAACGGTATTTCAAAACGAAATTTCGATCCTTGTTTAAATGCATAATAGAGATGGCAATTATGTAAACACGGTAAAGCATGGACGATACATAACATCTCAATATCTAGATTCACCCTAGCCCAAGACTTGGTCCTTCTTGAGTACATGACAAAAGACACTCGGGTACACCAAACAACCTATACGACTTTAGAGGCCACAACTACAGTTCATCCAATATAATGCAACCACAATTGTTCCTATATCAATTGGTCCTAAAGCAATTAACCAAGAATACAATCAATAGCATATACCAAGTAAAATTTTACGTTAAAGGGCCAGTTAATGAACAAGTTTTCTCTTGGATTGGGTGGTGAGAAGCTGAATATAATTTGTTTGCTTAAGAGAAGAAGACCATAATGTGCTTTGTCTCTGCAGTGGTGAATTATGTGTAGGAGTTGCGAGGAGTCTACTGATAATCTTTTCCTACATTGCCTATTTGCCTTGTCATTCTGGTGGAGTTAAGTTGGGTTTCACTACATTCTTGTGGGGAAATGTTTGAGATTGATTTTTGGGGATTTGGTATTAGCAAAAAGCACATTTTTACAGAGATGCATATTTCAACTACTTATTGGATCTTGTAGTTAGAGAAGAATGCTGGAATATTTGAAGGTACATTTGAAATTAAAACATTGTGGGACATAGTTTACTTCTTGGCTTGATTTTGGGTTTCCGCATCTCTCGAGTGTGTGAGCATTTAAGCTTTTCTCTGATTAGGGCAGATTGAAAAGCTGTATGTGTTGGGTGGCACTGTGAAATGTGTATTCCATGTTATGCTTGGATGACATTAGAGTTGGGGGAAATCGAAGTTGAAGGACAATTGGTGTTTTGCCTATTTTGCTACTGTTTGAGTTATTTGGTTGGAAAGGAATGCGAGGATATTCAAAGGCAAGTGTGAGGGAGTTGAAAGTCTTTGGATAAGAATTTATTTCTTAGCGTCCTTTTGGGTATCAGTCACTAAAGATTTTGATAATATACCCTTTTTTTGCATTATCTCGAGGTGGTCAGCTTCATGTGATATGTAGTTTTGGTTTTTCTGTGTCGTATTTTATTTTATCTTTTTTTGTTGATGTTTCTTTGGTTTGGACTACTTGTCCATCTTTGATTCGTCTCCTTTGTACTTTTTTTGAGCTTTTATAATTAATAAAAGTATCGTTTCTTATCGAAAAATATTGGTGGACTTCTTTTCTCCATTTTACTTTTGTATGTTGCTTACGAAAATCATAGTTTCATAGAATTTTAATGTAATCATAACACATGAATTGCAATAAAATATCAAGAAATCACGAGGAAATACTTTTGCAAAGAATTTAAGATGGAAGCAGACTGTTTAAGAATTCCACCTACATAAATCTCATTCAGAGCTAGTAAAGAGTGGTATGATGACACTTGGAACAATACTCTGCAATTTCATTTTAATCGGACCCTAATCGCAACACACATCTCCTCTCTTGTCTTGGTTTTTTTTGTTCTTTCTCACATTTTTTCCCAATAAGGTGCACGACATAAGACACTAAGGGACTGCATGTATCATGCATGGGTAACAATTGCCCCCCATTCAGGCAATATTAGTCACATTTTATCGTATCCTTCTTTCTCCATTTCTTCTGAAAATACAAATTTAATCCACTACAAAATTAATTTTTTTACTTCTTTTTTTTTTTCTAAGCCTTTGTATCACAATTTACCCCTAGAAAATGATATATCCTCAAATCCTCAAAATTAGCCTTTCTTTGCATCTCAAATGTTTTTGTTGTGTACTCTAATTAAAACTGATTCTGATTGTTTTTCTCACAATTCCACCTAACGTTCTATTTGTACAAAATTACTCAAAACTTTCAGAATTAAGAGCGCTGTACACAAAAAGCAGAATTTGTCGCTTTCATGTGATATAGGAGTTGCCAGTCGATTACACCACATTCTCGTATTGTTCACATGATTATTGATTGCAATACGGAGGATATGACACGACTCCCGGGTGCATGGCCTAATCACCTGGAAGGAGACCACCTCTAATAACACGTTGTCACACCTGAATTTGGTTTGTTTATAG